TTTAATAGTTCTGTGATCAGTCTCTAGTTGATAAATTCTCTTCTGGGAAGCTCAGATTATTCTGATCTTTGCTAGAAAATTTGTACATCTTTACAGGTAGTTTTTTACTGCAGCTTCAGCTTAACTTCTGGAGAACCACGGTAGCAGCTAATGAAGTATTGGAGAATGACTGTACTTTGTATTTCTCTATGTATTTAAAACTTGTGCATTAACAGGTCATTCTTAATTATGGCAGCATCCTGCTAACAGAACACTGAAGGTCTTAACAAACACAGAAAAGTACTGAATGCCAGGGTCCAGCTTAGTATGGAGGAGCGTGGCTCCAAAACCTGTCTCTTGCTGGTGCAACTCAAACCTGAAACAGTCTCAAGATGTACATCTCCAAACTCAAGCATTTTGTTTTTTTACTGTCTCCGAAGCATGAAACAAAACGTTGCATCTTGCAGCATGCTGGACATGGATTGTGTGACAAGAACTCTAGCCTGCATTGTGCACAACTCTCAGAACATTCCTGTTGAGAAAAGGCATTCCAGATATTGTACCAGTATAAATTGTTAGTAAGGTTGTGTTGAAATTCCTCCTTTCTTAGTACTCTGTATATTAAATATATGTATTCCCAAGCAGTATGGAGATAGATAACAATAAAAAGCAGTTTACAGTTCTGATTTTTCTCATAAGTTTATGGGCTCCTGCAGGGAGATATGGAATTGAGTAAGGTGGTAAGACAGAACCTGAAAGGTATTGAAAGAAAATGGGAATCTACTTTTAGGAATGGGAAGTGTTATGAATGAAATAGAGGAAGATACAGACATGGAGCGATAGATGAAAAAGGTTGGAACGGTCAGGAAAGGTGAAGATGATGTTTTCCATCTGGTGTTGTGAACAGTTAAAGGATGCTATGGCCATATCTTGTAGTGGATTCGTTCACTGTGTTCATAAAATCTGTGCTAGCAAGGCAGTTACAGACTGCTGATGTATAAAGAACTTCAGATAAATCCCCAGATATCTATGACCAGCTAATGTATGAAACCTCTTTTTTTGCCACTGAGAGCCACAGAACACCTTGTAACTAATTCACAGTAAGCTCAACTAGTCGCACCACTGCAGAGTATTTCCATTTAAGAATCAGAAGAGGTTAGAAACTGATTCTGTGAATGCAAGGGGCATGTCTATGTCATCGTGCAGATGCTTGCAACAGTAGCAGAACTGGAAGGAGTTAAGCATGCCCTTCAGACACTGGCAGAAATATGCTTAGACACTTCCACACTGCGCAGCATGTGTCCTCTAGCTCTAAGGTTCACGCTCACTTACTATGTTAGGCTCGTCTAGCTTCCTGTGTGCGAGAGGGGTAAATATAGGACTGAAATGAGTTGGTTTCACTATGGTATATAAATGCAGAGCATGACGACATAACCATGACATGATCATAATATTTGTTACTGTACCAAATAACTGCAGAGCTTGTGCTGCGACTGCAGGCACAGTCTGCCCATACAAACATCATGTCCACAGAAAAACTGTACTTCTCCTAACGTTTCATGCAGCCTTATTTTACCAGTTCATTAAAGAAAAAAGAGTATTTCTAGTAAACCTGGCACTGAACCTAGTCAAAGTTAGACTTATGGCTTGAAATGGTAACGTGCAAGGCAACCCACCATGTCCTGGATAGCTTGCCTCTGCATACATGGCCTGCCCTGTGACTGCTTTTGATCACAAACCAACAGAGTCAGCTGGCTGCTCCAGAGCAGAGAAGACTGAGGGTTAATTACAGCCCAGCAGGTTGTTGGGGTATTTTCTTATTTTTTTTGGGAGAGTTGACTTGCTGGTCAAAACTAGGCTAAATATACTGCACCAACCAACGTGATGTAGCTGCAGGGATTCTTAACATAAACACAGCTGGCAGAGCTCTATCTGGAGGAGACAAAAGAAGGCCTATGTCTAAGCTCCAGTCTATCTATCATGTTCTTTGAGGTTTACTGATCCTTATTATATCTGTGAATACAGTAATTCACTAATTATCCTCTAAAACACTTC